GTGGTCCCATATTTGCGTGTGGATAAACCGGAGGAACAGCTGGGGAGTGAGACAGACCACACAATCCAGGGTTCCAGCACAAGAAGAGAAAGCCTCAAAACCTCTGGAGGTAAAAACCTGTGGGGGTTGCAGCAGCAGGAAAAACTCCCAGGCTCATGGAAGAGTTTGTGGGAGAGACCCACAGGGCCCTGGAATGCATACAGACTCACTCACCTGGGAATCAGCAATCAGAAGGGCCCGATTTGCTTGTGGGTAGCAGGGGAAGTGACTGAAAACCTGCCAAGTGCCTAGCAAGCGGCATTGTTCCCTCTCAGACCCCTCCCCCACCTACAGTGTCACAATGCAGCGACCTGGGTTACCCTGCCCTGGTGAATACCTAAGGCTCCTCCCCTTACAATGTAACAGGTGTGCTGAGACAAAGAAATATGGCCCAAATGAAAGAGCAGATCAAAACTCCAGGAAAAAATACAACTAAACAATGAAGTGATAGCCATCCTATCAGGTGCAGAGTTCAAAACACTGGTAATCTGGATGTTCACAGAAATGGTTGAGTATGGTCGCAAAATGGAGGAAAAAGTGAAGGCTATGCAAAGTGAAATAAAGAAAAATATACAGATAACCAACAGCAAAGGGAAAGAAACCAAGACTTACATCAAATATTTGGAGCAGAGGGAAGAGATAAACATTTAACCAGAAAAGAATGAAGAAACAAGAATTCAAAAAATTGAGGAGAGACTTAGGAACCTCTGGGACAACTTTAAACGTTCCAACATCTGAATCATAGGGGTGCCAGAAGGAGAAGAGGAAGAGCAAGAAATTGAAAACTTATTTGAAAAATTAATGAAGGAGAACTTCCCCGATCTGGCCAAGGAAATAGACTTCCAGGAGATACAGGAAGCTCAGAGTCCCAAATAAGCACTTGCGAAGACACATGATAATTACATTACCCAAGATTAAAGATAAGGAGAGAATCTTAAAAGCAGCAAGAGAAAAGGAGACAGTTACCTGCCAAGGAGTTCACATAACAGTATCAGCTGATTTCTCAAAAGAAACCTTGCAGACAAGAAAGAGCTGGAAAGAAGTATTCAAAGTTGTGAAAGACAAGGACCTATACCCAAGATTACTCTGTCCAGAAAAGATATCATTTAGAATGTAAGGGCAGCTAAAGTGCTTCGCAGACAGGTAAAGTTAAAGGAGTTCATCCTTACCAAGCCCTTATTACACGAAATGTTAAAGGGACTTATCTAAGAAAAAGAAGAAGATCAAAAACTATGAACAGTAAAATGACAACAAACTTACAACTATCAGCAACTAAACCTAAAAAAATCCAAAAATGAAAACAAACAACTAGAACCAGAGTAGAGTCACAGAAATGGAGATCAGAGGGAAGGGGACAGGGGGAGAATGGAGGAAAAGGTACAGTGAATAAGAAGCATAAATAGTAGGTACAAAATAGACAGGGAGAGGTTAAGAATATATAGGAAACGGAGAAGCCAAAGAACTTGTATGTATGACCCATGGACATGAACTAAGGGAGGGAGGATGCTGGTGGGAGGAAGGATGCAGGGCAGAGGGGAATAAAAGGGAGAAAAAAATGGGACAACTATAATAACATAAAAAAAAAAATGCCTGCCCTGGCCAGGTAGCTCATTTGGTTAGAGCATCATCCTCACATACCAAGGTTGCAGATTCGATTCCCAGTCAGGACACATACAAGAATCAACCAATGAATGTATCAATGGGTGAAACAACAAAATACATGTTTCTTTTTCTTCTCAAAGCAATAAAAAAAAAAAAAAAGCAATGTGACTTAGGCAGTTAAAGAGCCTGTCATGGGTAGAGCTCTAAATTCCCAGATCATCCCTCTACCCACTACTACAGCTTGTCCGATTTGGATAAATCACAAAAGGCTCAAGAGGATGGGGAAATGATTTCCCTGTTGTCTAGTACATATGCTACTAGACTTTTTAACAGTTTGAAGAAGACTTTGGCATGGTTGATTGACTCATTTGCCACATGATTGAACTCAGTCTGCAGGCTCACACCACCCCTTTCCCGGAAGTCAGGCTGATAGCACAAGGTTCAAAGTCCCAACCCTGTAATCACAGAGTGGTCTTTCTGGTATAAACAGCCCCTTTCAGAGCCCTCTTATTAGCATAAACTCATATGTACTCCTAAGGCCTACTGGGAGTAATAAAAACACTATAACTCAAAAAATCCCAGGAAGTTAGAGTCTTCCTCCCAGGAATCAGGGACAAAGACCTGTCAAATTCTTTATCATACATCAATACCTAACAGACTTGATGTGAGATTAATGCATTTAAAATAGTATGGTGCAAGCTCTGGCTGGTGTGGCTCAATGGATTGAGTAACAGCCTACGACAAAAATAGTATGGTACATACTGGGCACTCAACAAATGATAATTACTAGTTATTGGTATGTAATTGCTTATATTCTAAACTATTAAGAAAAGATCATTGTATAGCACCCATGTAATACCGCATGTAAAAGGACACAATAAAGCATTTGATGAAGAGATTACTCCATCATTTTGTAAAGTTTGCTTTTATTAAAGTTGTTAGATCCACATGAATTGGTACCAGGCTCTCTTTGCAAAATAAGGACCCATTAGCAGATCTTTTAGTTGTGGGACAGAGGGTATTAAGTGGGAAAAGGCTGATTTTGTTAATGATTATGTTTACAGTAAAGTCTATTTTAATTAAAAAAATTTTAATTCACAGGATTCAAAGAGGGTGAAAATATATATATATCTATGTTCTTTCTTACCAATGGCCTTTTGCACCATTGAAGGTGCCTGCAAAAACTGTTGCCTCATTTGCTTGAAAAATTTCCTACCTAAGCATATCATAATTTCAATGAATTTAAAATGTCCCAGACTGGATTCTTAACCGAGGAAGCCTATGATCACGTTGTTGCAATTCTGAGTGTTAGCTACATCACAAGTGATAGTTAGTGATGTGGAAACTATTGTCCCCACTATAGCACTATACACTGGAATGATATAATTTACCCGAGTGGTTCTAATGCAGAAGAATAATGGTTACGAGAAAGTTCTCCAAAATGCAGTGGGTGACTGTGTTAGGATAGTGGAATTAAGGATCGTTTATTAGCTTTTCCTGAACTCCTAGCTTCAGGAAATTCCCAATTCAAAAAGGAGTTGGGATAGGAGATAAAGGATGAGGATAGATCTCAGCCTAGGACAACTGGGTGGAGCCAAAGGACTATGGATATGGATGGGGGGACCCACGGACAGGAGCCAACCAGGAAGATTCCCCTAAAAGGTAAAGAAATCAGAGCTCCCTAAGGGTTTTGTGTATAGTTATTACATTCATTAGGCAAAAAGAAAGAGGGAAGGAATGAGGAGAAAGGTGGAAGACAAAGAGAGAATGTCAACGAGCTGCTTGTCATGACACAGAGAGAACCTGTTTAGATCAAGAACTGGTCTGCTTAGGGCAGAAGTTATTTTCATTTTACTTAATGGGTTTGCTGGACAAGCTGACTCTGACATTTGCTGTTTTCCTAATTTTTACTATCTGCATTTCCATTGCCTTTCAGACTCTGATAGAAAATTAGCTTCAGTTATGTTTTGTTAAATGAACTAGCTTCAGTGAACTCTATTAAGTGAGCTTCATGAATCAGCTTCTCTGTGTCTTAATCATTTATTCTGCTCTCTCTTGGATTCTCTCTCACTTATCTCTTTCCAGCATGGAGTTATCTATGGATGAACACAGTGTCCTTGATCATAGTACCAACTATTACTAAATGTCCTTGCTACTATCTTCCCCCAGTCCTTTCTGTTTATTTCTCCTTCCCAAAGTCTTCATTTTAGTGGAAGGTTTTTTTAAATGCTATTTTTTTCTCTCAACTCTGCCTCCAGACTACACTCTGGACCAAATGTTAACTAAGTACTTCTTGTGCATGTCTCTGTCTTTGTCTACATTCTTGGCAAACATCTTTAAAAAAAAAAAGAAGAAGAAGAGAAAGAAGATTTTATTTATTTATTTTTAATAAAGAGTGTGGAGTAATAAAGAGTATTTTTAATAGAGAGTGGAGAAGGGAGGGAGAAAGAGAGGGAGAGAAACATTGATTGGTTGCCTCTTGCATGCCCTCAGCTGGGGACCTGGCCTGAAACCCAGGCATATGTCTTGACTGGGAATCAAACCTGTGACCTTCCATTTCACAGGCCAGCGCTCAATCTACAGAGCCACACCAGCCAGGGCTCTTGGCAAACTTCGTCAGGCAAGAGTAACATATGGTGCGTTCCTGAAACAAGAAACCTCCATAGAACATGTCATGAAATTGAGGCTCTCAAAAAATTTGGGGGCTGCAATCAGGTGTTAATGGTGAGAAAACTGTTAAGGGGGCCTCATGGCCAAACTCAGACCGAATGGTGAAGCTGGGAGAGTTTATCTCAGACCTACCACTCTCCTTTCAGCCCTCATCCCCTCTTCCAAGTTCTCACCATCCACATACTCTTCCCAGACGTCTGGTCTCTCTTCACAGGCCTGCCCAACCTGGACAGCTGGTAAGATTTTGGATCTAATTTTTTCTGCTCATGCTTATTCAAATTTACATTTAGTTACCTCAGAGTCAATTTTAAAAAGGGCAAAGGATTTGAATAGATCCTTCACTAAAGAAGCTATAGGGATGGCCAATAAGTACATGAACAAATGACCGACAGCGTTGGCCATGAGGGAAATGCAAACTAAACCCACGATAAGATACCACCGCACACCTACCAGAACGGTGAATTAAATTGCCATTAAAGTTTTTAATTTTTAAAAAATTAAACCATTTGAAATTAAAAGGATCGACTGTGCTAAGTATTGGCAAGAATGTAAAGCAATTGGAAGGCCTATACACTGCTGGGGGGGGGCGTGGAAAACTTTGGAAAACAGTGTTGACAGTTTCTTAAAAAGGTGATGTACATAGAGACAACTGTACTTGAACAATAATTTTTAAAAAAGGTAATGTGCAGAGGCTTTTGTTCTTCATAAGCATGGTAATTGGGTGTTCACGCTCTTGTGTGAGATGTGTCTCCCTCGAACCTTGTTACGACATCAGCACACTACCCGTTTGATGTCAAAAAAAAATAAAGGTAATGTATATGTGTACATGTATCACATGACCCAGCCACTCCACTTCTAGATATTTACCGAAGAGAAACAAAACCTTTTGTCCATACAAAGACTTGTACACAAAGGTTCCTAGGATCTTCATTTGCAATAGTCTGAAAGTATAAATAACCTGTATTAGTCTACTCAGGTTGCCATAAGATAACACAGACTGCATGGCTGAAACAACAGAAGTTCATTCCCTCACAATTTTTGGAAAGGTTCAAGATCAAGTTTCTAGCAGTGTTCGCCTTCTAATAAGGTTCTCTTCCTGGCTTGCAGGTGGCTGCTATGTCTTCACGTGGCCTTTCGTCTGACTGCTCTGGGCATGGGGGTAGGAGGCAGAGAGAGGGCATTTGAGCAACTGAAAGGGTTTGCTGGTGTTTCTTTTATAAGGACACTAATTCTATCTGGTTAGGGACCCACTTTATGACTTCAGTTTATCTTTTTTAAAAAAATATTTATTTATTTTTAGAAAGATGGGAAGGGAGGAAGAAAGAGAGGGAGAGAAACACTGATGTAAGAGAACAACATCGATTGGTTGCCTCTTGCTTTGTGCCCTGGTCCAGGGACCTGGCTCACAACCCAAGTGTCAACCCATCTGCCCTGACTGGGAATCAAACCAGTGACCTTTCACTTTGTGGGATGATGCTCAATCAACTGAGCTACACTGAGCTACACTAAAGTCATGGCCACTTTATCTTAATTATCTCTTAAAGACTCTTCCCAAATACAGTCACATGGAGGGTAAGGGCTTCAACACATGAATTTTTGTGGGGCAAACCAGTACACAGCATAACCCCAAAGTCCATCAATAGAAGAATAGATAATTCTGGTGTATTGGTACGGTGGTATGCTATTCAGCAATTAAAAGGAATAAACTATTGCTGTACTCAGCGCTATGGGTAAAACTCAATCTAGAGGGTGAAAGAAGCCAGATGAAAAAAGAATACATACTAGGTGATCACATTTATATAAAATCTTACAAATGTAAAGTCATCAGTAGCAACAAGAAAGCAGATGAGCAATGGCATGGAGATGGAGAAAGGGGAGAAGGTCAGCAGGGAGGGGTTGCAAAATGGCACAGGAAAGCGGATGGCGTTGGTGTCTACATTCACTATCTTGATTGTACTGATGTTCTCACAGGTAATAGCAGCATTATCCTGTTATCAACTGTAAATATGCACAGCTTGTTGTGCCAGTTATGCCTCAATGAAGCTGTAAACTAATTTGCATTTAATTAGCCTTCACCTGGATGGGCTGAATTCATTTTTAGCAATTTTTAGCAACATTGACGTCTCTTAGTTATTTTATGCAGAGCCATTTATGGCTCTTTCCTCGCTCATTGGCCTCCTTTGTGAGCCAATTTTTTTTTGTTGTTGTTCTACCAAATATCAAGAGGTCGGCCTATAAAGACAACAATCAAGGCTAAAAAAGTTATTTTCTTCTAAAACATATTTTGAAATGTGAAGAAAATTTCTAAATTCATTTATATGGTTTTTCTTATTACTCTAGGGTAACTGTCTTTGGAGAAATGATATGTCAGCTTGGAGATGCCAGCATATCACTGGAGAAATCACTTGTACATGAATGTGTGATGCCTGACCTGTGCCCTTGTGCATGGATGCATAGGCAGCAATCACCTAATGCATCTACACAATGATTAATAGTCTGCAAGTGCACTTATAATTTCAGCATGTATTTGGGATAATATCCTAAGAGTTTGGGTATCATCCGGCAGCTAGGCTAAGTCTCCAAGCTTCCGAGCTCCATTGTTGATGTTTCTTGCCACCATCCCCGTAGGCAGCAGGGGCTAGTGAACGTTGGCCAGTTCCTGGCTATGACAGTAATAGCCAGTGTGTGTGCACTGGTAAAAATGAGCTACCTCTCACTGTGAAAAACATGGTCTCAATACTTTGCATCGCCTGCTGTCAGGAGGTAGACTCTATTTCCCCACTCCTTGGATTCAAGCTGGCCTTGTGACTTGCTCTGACCAATGGGATGTGGCAAGAGCGACATTGTGGAAGTTCTAAGAGCACCTGCATTTCCCTGATGGTACTCTTGGCACACTCCTGCAGCCACATAAGTCTGCACAGGACTACTGAATGACATCAGCTGGAGAGAAGCTGACAGCTAGCATCAAGGCCCCTGTCCTGTAAGTGAGGTCATTAATATTACATCATCTTGTTCCAGTCAACCCATCAGAGGATTGCAAGCTCATGAGTGACCCCAGGTGAGATCTGAAGAACCACCCAGGTAAACCTGGTCCCAACTGCAGAATCATGAACCAATGGATAGTTATTGTTGTTAGGTGGCTATGTTTCAGGGTGGCTTATTATGCAGTGATAGATATCTGCAATGTTCACCCAATTGCCAGCCGTTTGTGAAGTCTAAGGCCAGTAAGCTCCTCAGAACCAGTTTCTAGTGTTTTCACTGCCTTGTGGGACAATAGTGGGCTAGTCATTTACCATCTCTCCCTCAATTATTTTGCTTTTCAAATGGATGCAACATCATGTATTTCAGAGGGTGTGTTGAAAAAAATTATTCTTGTAGGATGTTTCTATATACGGTTGTGGGGGAGAGAAAGGTTTAGCTGCATATTTAGAAAGTGGATTTATTTTGATAGTTTTGACTAATAAGATTTCTCCCTTGAGACTGTCCTTAAATAGACTTTATGTCAGGCTGTTCTGGTTTACCAGCAAATCGTCTTCAGGCTACCGATTACTGCCTCTTCCTTCTTGTCTACCCTCACTCCCCTTCTTCTCCCCTCCCCCCATTTTCGGGGCAGGAGACCTGGGATGGACGTTGCAGCCTGGTATACCTTTGATCTGCTTTATTTAGGAAAGCCTGTATCTTATTTCTATATCTCTTGCTCCTGGCCCGGTGACCTACGTGTATAGGTGCTCACTATATGTTAAATGATGGTACTATTGAACTCCCAATGCTTGGATAGAAGGACCTAAGGAAGGTAAAAATATAATTAAAATTGCATTAAAGAGAGAAGGTGACCTCTAAAAGAGGCACCTTCTGAAGCCTGGGTTTAGTACGGGTGCAGCAAAAGACCTGGGGGCAAGTTCTGCTTGGTAAGAATTGTCTGAGTTGGCTCTTTGGTTATGCAAAAATAAAGCCGAGGGTGGTCCATTGTCCTGAAGGGAGGAAGCTAACAGGGTGAGTTTCCTGACTAAAGCTTGGTCTAATCCCAGGTATGTGGTTGATTGTAGGGGAGAGATTGGAGAAATACACTTTGGGAGCCAAGGACTCTACTTGAATGAAAGGGGTCTCATACTCAGACTACTTCCATCTTAGGGTTTACCCTTATTCTACATCTCTGATGCCCGAGATGGTCCCAACTAAGGTCAGCAAGCAGGAAGGGGCACTAAGGCTCCCCAAGGGGCAGCCTAAATTGACAGTGAGGGAAGCTGCAATGACAATTTGGACTCCACACCAGCCCTGAAATTGTGCTATTGGAGGGGCTGGTATGTGCAGAATGCGTCTAAGGCTGGAAACCCTTCCTAATCTAGTTACCTAGCCCTTTGAGTGAGCTTTGGGAAAAACTGTATGAACATGAGGAACACATAGATGAAACTTTAGGAGCCCAGGCCTTTCGAAGTGTGGTAAGACCATTATAACACCTAGGAGGCATGAAATAGTGGAAAGAACTCTAATCCAGTATTAAGAAGGCCTGAGTTTTGGTCCCATGTCTGCTACTGCTGACTGAGTATCATTGTAGAGTTACTGAGTGCTAGTGAGTGTGCCGTTTCCTTTCTCTGCACCTTAGTTTTCTTGTTTGTAAAATGAGGGGTTGAAGTGATGGTCCATTACTTGGGATTCCACAAGTGTTACTTTGGGAGGTAACCATTGCGAGATTAGGAATGCATTTTCATGAGAGCTCTCTGTTGACTAAAAAGAATACATAATGTCCATCAGGAAAATTTGTGACAAAAATTACAGGCCTGTTTCTTAAAGTACCACTTGTGCCCTACTTTGGAATCTGGGTCCTGATCTTTTTTTCTTTGAAAATGAGCCATAGGTGGTTTGGCGGAAGAGAGAACAGGTGTGGAGGGAGCTAACAGGAGCTTTGGAAAAATGACAGGCTTGTTTTCCTGAAATAAGCTTCAGTCTTCAGTCAAATGGCTTGTGTGGATTTCAAAAAACCAAACCAAACCAAACCAAACCAAAAAATCCTCATGGTAAATATAGATTCATTAAAGGGTCTTAAAAAATAGGATCTAGGCTTAGACTGGCGGCTTGGGCAGGGTATACAATGTAGCTTCATCACGGCACCTGGGGATCTTCTGTGTGTGCTGCTGCTGTGAGGTGACCCTTTATATTTTTGTCTCGGCTCAAAATTCAGATTCTCCAGAAAGACATTCTGATTGTCCAGCTTAGTTAGGTCCTATGTCCACCACGTGGCCAGCAGAAGGGACCTGTGATTAACAGCCTCATCAGAGGAGCATGAAATGGGGTGAGGCAGCCCCCCAAAAGCGCATGTGCTTGCGGGCATGCGGGTGTGTGTGGGAGGAGGGGGGGTCTAGTTTATGCTACCGGAGGGGGAGAGGTAACGGGCAGAAAAATGTCACAACGTCTAAGGCTCCAGAACTGCTCAGGGATAATTACAAGTGACAGCAAGTTCATGTATTAACCAAGTGCTCCCTGGCACAGCTGGATAGTTTCAGGAGCTTTCAGGGCTGCCTGGCTAGGAGGCTGACACCCAGTGGCTGGTTTGTGTCACAGGTGGTGCAACCAGCCTTTTTTTCTTCTAAGGAACCCTGTAAATATTTGACATTCAGTAACACTCATTGACTGATTGCCTGAAGGAAGGAAATAAGGAAGGAGAGAAGGAAGGATACAGCTCTTACATGGGCTAAGAAAGGACTTCTCTTCAGCATTAGCTTGAGTTGAACTCGCTTAGAAACTGTTTAATTATGAATCTTTTAGCTGCAAGTGATTGAAGCTTACCTGTGCTGT